AGTCAACTGCATCAGTGTGGCATAGGAGTCACATAGGCTGTGTTAGAGAAGGATGACAAGTTTCCTTTCCCAAAGGCTGTTAGTGATGATTATTGAGCACAGCAATCTCAGCCCACGCGCCCCATTGTTGCGAACGAGACATTGGAAGCGGATCCAATGTGCTCTCGTAGATGGGTGTAGAAGGTTCCATGGTACTATTTTGTAGAAGACCAGGGAATTACCCCAGTGTCTTGGTGTCTTGGGGTGTGGGTGGGTGGAAGAGAGATAGGTTTATCCCTCAATCAATATCAGTGAAATACACGACCATGTCACTGTTTGTGGGATCTTGCTGTGCACAAATTGGCTGTCACCTTTTTTTACATTACAACAGTACTTCAAAGGTTTCAGTTCATTGTCTGCAAAACACTTTGAGCCATTCTGAAATTGCGAAAGGCACTATAGAAATGCAATCCTTTACTTCAGTCTTTTAATGAATTAGTTGGGTTTTTTTAATGACAAAAATTAGCATCTGTAAGGTCACTTCCTCTGAGGCCTCTTTCAATTTACAGGCTGTCCTTTTTAGGATTCAGTTCAAATTCACAAAGGGCCCTGGTGGGATTTGAACTCATAAATAATGAATACAGGAACATAAGCACTCCATTTCTGTACACCTGTCAGATAAGAGCACTGATCAATGCTGACAGCTTCCCATTACATATTGAACACCTTCAGCACATCAGCCAAATGCTATTTTTAACTATCCCCTGCAGGATCCAGGTGATTAGTTTTTACTTCACTTACTATACAAAGTGCAGATAGATCACGTGCAATGCATTAATTATTTCATACAAATAAAAAAGTCCTAAATTGCCATTAAATAATTCTCCAAGGACTGTTCCTACAGTCAGATCATTTTAAAATTAATTAACAGATACTAAGGGGGAATGTTAGCTCGGAAGCGTTGGTGGGAGTGGGGCATGTTGTAGGAATAGAGACGGTAATGGGGTAGCAAAGGATGAGTTTACTCTCTGAGTCTTTTGAACATGTGGACCCAAGTCTTAGTCAGACTAAAGGTGCATGAATGTCGTTTAGGGAAAGAAATCTGCCATCCTTACCTGGTCTGGTCTATATGTGACTCCAGACCGACAGCAATGTGGTTGACTCTTGGATGTCCTCTGAAATAGCTGAGGAGGACGTTCAGTTCAAAGAGAATAAGGAACAGGCAACTGATGCTGACCCAGTCAGCGATGCCCACATGGCAGAATAAAGAAGAAAAAATATCAGAATCAGGTAGAATCAGGAGGACAAATGAATCTACGTTTACAGTGAGAATAGCACTGTCCCATCTTCTACTGTCCCTCTCTGTTTCCTTCATTTCTACCTCACCACTCTCTACTTTCAGCACTCCCCAGATCTCTCCCTCTGTCTCTGCTTCAGTAGCTCTGTCTATGCTCTGATTTTGCCTTTTCCTTTTCTCAGTTTTCTTTTGGATTTCAACTCTAAGATTTTTTCTCTCTTTCACCGCTGTTTTATTTCTCTCTCACATTCTAACTTTTGACTTTATCCTGTTTGAGTCCAGTTTTGTGTTTGTAGAGACAGCAGCACCAGGGCAAAGAAAAATTTGTAGCAATCTCTTTGCTTTCCTGCTCTCTCCCACACTTTCTTTTCCTCCTAATCTTTCTGTGTCCTTCTCTTCCTTCCTCACCTGCTTTTTATTCCACTATCTCCAATTCTTTGTCTCACACTCTGTCTCTTGGTTTAAAAGTTTTGCTATGAAAGGTTTCATAACAGATGAATTACTCTACAGATTACTTAAGTGCAGCCAATCCTGCACGGAACCCTAAAGAGAAAAGCACAAAGCCAGGGTTCTTGTGGGTGACCATACACACATCTTCTGGTGCACAGGAACATGGATATACTCACTGTAACAGGCATGCACTAATCCAGGTGCACACACCGTGACAGGTTAGTATTGTGACAGATATTCACTGTTACAGGTACAGTGACTGATACATAACTATACAGATGTGCCTCAGAATCGTGAATCTCATGGTTAGAGCTGTAAGATTTAGTCCAGGGGTCACAGGTTATCTAAAAATTAGGCTGAAGTCATAAGTGATTTTAAAGCAACTTACTAAGAAGCAATAGTTTAGATGTAATACATAAGATAAATAGGCAGAAAAGACATTTTACTTTTAACAAGCATGTAAGGGTTACTGATCTTAGATTAAATAAATGGATGGGGAAAATAGAGAATATTAACCTCCACAGTTGACAGTGGTTGGCTTGTGAGAACAATTTACTGCTCTTGGAACAGACAAACAGATGGATGAAGCCAGCGTCAGAGCTGGAGGTGGGGGTGGAGGGAAAGTTTCTTTTCTGCTCTTCAGTCTGAAGTGTTAGATTAAAGCCAGTATGGATCACTTCCAAAAATCCCTCCTCTCTCCAAAGTTTTCTTGAGCTAAAACCCAGTTTTTGGGTGACGAGAGAATTGTTCCAGTTCAAGAGGCTCTCCTCCAATCCAAGAGATTCCATTTACAGACCTTATTTCTGGGAGTCCTGTCATTCATTTATTCAACTGTTCATTGGCAAGGAACAGGCATTCAAGGTAATCCCTCCTATCTCCATCAGGAAGGTCTTAAGAGTCATCCAGTGGCTCATTGCTTGTTTGCAAGTTCCATTTAATCTTCAGGAAAGTGGTTTACATTTGTGTCATTGTGTCAGATTATCCCCCACACTCCATGACTATACCCCCATCCCACCGTCCCTGAACCCTACCCCAGCCCCAGTCAGAATTAGCAATGCCTTGTTTCTGAGTCTGAGCTGGAGACATGCCCTTGTGAGGTAGTGGTCTTCACTGCCTTCAGTTCATCAGCCCAGAAGCTGGTATGAGTGCTTTCTTTATAAGGGGGAGAGGGGTGGGGGGAAGAGAGAGAGATAGAGAGAGAGAGAGGATGCCAATCCTATGATACTCAATTGATTTTTTAGAATTTTATACAGTTGTTATATAACATTTTGTTATGTACCCTATCCGCAAGACCTATACTGATAATGTGTGTCACAGTGTCACAGCCTGAAATACTCCCTTCCAGATAAGATGATAAACTGAGGGCCATCTCTTCTTCCAGGTGGGTACAAAAGACCCCGTGTCAGCATTTTGATAGCTCAATGAAGAGTAGGAAAGTTGACCCTGGTGCCCCAGCCAATACCTATCGCTGAGACAATACCACTAGGTTCTCTACTGTGTTGCTGTTTGTGGGATCTTGCTGTGTACACTTTAGCTGATGGTTTTTCTGCTTTGCTGCACTGACTATATTCAACAGCAGTATTTAATTGGCTTTAAACTGCTTTGGGACATTAAAAACGTTGTTTCCGTTGCTCTCTAAAGGTTGGCTATTTGTTTCTGTTGCTGTAACATGCTGCAGTGGTACTGGACTACAGCTGAAGGCAGATGGCAACTCTCAGGCTGGGAATATGGTTCAGTGCCAAGAGGTCCACACAGCCCATCTGTGGTGCTCATGGGTTGATTTAGTGCAGGAAACATTCCCACTGCTGTTCCCTGTGGTGGCCGAGTTGGCTGAGGGGTCCGTTCCCCAGTTGGTGTGGTTCATGTTAACATTCAACACCCTTGGACCAAATACAGCTGCTTTAAAATGAAGCAGAGAGGGATTTAATAAAATCCATCAAAAACTGTTATTTAAACAATCTATACCATTACCTGACACATAGCCCTGTTGGGATTTATTTTCTTGAGGAATATTGTATTATTATTTTTGATTTTTGGATATTTTATTAAACCAGAAACTCCAAAATTCTTGTTGAGCAATTGCTGTACGGGTAAAAATGACTATCACTAACTCAAAGGGCAAACTAAAAATTGTATTGGACAATGAGAACACTACTAGTTAGCACTGCATCATTGAAGGCATGACAGGATATAGATGCTCAACACATGTCAATCTGCTACTCCTCTGCATCTCAGGCCATACAGACTCTTTTCTTGGATCCTCAAGACTGGTCCTTTAGCATGTTGACATAAGTATATAAACTCATCTGTAAAATTTCAACTTTAATTACCCAACCCACCTTAAATAGTGGTGTTGCTCAGTTTGTACTTGCTGCTGTCACTGTTTCTCCAGAATTTTACCAGTTGTTGCTATTTTTCTCTCTTTATCTCTCAAACTCTATATCTTTAACAATTTCTTTAGCTGCCTTTTAACTCCTCAGTTAAGCTGTCCCTTCAACTCCCAATTTATTCTCTCTCCCAATTTATTCTCTCTTCATCTCTCCTTACGTACTTTCCCATGAGGTGCCCCTTTAATAAATATCCTAACAATGAGGACTGTCCCTTTACTAGTGCTAAGCTCTCAGTACTGTGCCCTCCCATACACCCTCACTTTGAAGATGACTTCACATTTTAAATTGATTCAGTACACCTATGCCAACAGAACTCAGAAATGAAGTGAAGATTATGACTTTTGACCAATGGGAAGGGAGTCACAAGTCTTCCATGACAACTTGATGTATGAATCACTTCCCTTGATCCAATTAGATTGTGTATGTTCTAACTGCCAGCCTTAGCTTGTACTTTGTCAGGAATCACCTGGAACACTGAGTGCCTAGCCCCTTCCTGACTTGAACCTTAGCTTTCCTCTTAAAGTCACATTGCCATATCTGGCACTTAAAAGACAAGTGCAATTTGAGATTTTTCATGCTGTAAACTTACAAGTAGTAAACTTTAACAACTCTGAAACTCATTAATGGTGCAGGCATGATGGGCTGAATGGCCCGCTTCTGTGCTGTAACAATCCTGTGAACAACAGAAAGATATATGCCATTGAAATGAACCATAACACCCCATTGCAACTGGAAGCTACAGGGTCAATGAATGTAGCTTAGAAGATGTAGGATGGGCCTTCAGGATTCCTGTTAGTGCTGTAGTGCTGTTACCATGAGTATCTGCACCTTATTGATGACAATAACTGATTATTATCGTGTTTGCTCTCTCCGGGGATGGGGAGCAGGGTCAGCTGCTGACTCAGGGCAATGTTTCCTCGATTTCTGCACTCTCTGGCCAACCCCGGGGTCATATCTACCTGCAGATCCAGGAGCTGGAAGCTCAGCTGCTCTCCAAACTCTCAGAACTGGAGAAAGAACGATCCTTACTGCAGAACAAGAGTGACCGACAGAAGCATCTCCTGGAGGAGCAGTTGGAGTCCCTTCACCAGCGCATCGACAAACTGGAAAAAGGTAAGGAACAAAAACAGAAGTTGCTGGAAAAGCTCAGCAAGTCTGGCAGCATCTGTGAAGGAGAAAACAGAGTTAACGTTTTGGGTCCGGTGACCCTTCCTCAGAACAGGACCCGAAACGTTAACTCTGTTTTCTCCTTCACAGATGCTGCCAGAGCTGCTGAGCTTTTCCAGCAACTTTGTTTTTGATCCTGATTTACAGCATCCACAGTTCTTTTGGTTTTTATTTGGAAAAAGGTAAGGTTCAGGAAAGGTTAAAAGTTAAAGGTGAAAGATCAGGTCTGGGATGTGAGGGATAATAGGGCTGGCTCTTCATTGTGCATTCCTGTCTCACAGCCTTGTTTTGTAGGAGCATATATTAAGAGAGGTCTGACCTGCCCCTCTCCAACTGTGTGTAGAAGGGAAGCAGACCGCACTGAGATCCTTTAGCTGGGGTTATACCACAGTGACTGCAAGCCAGTGTGAGTCCAAGAGGCAAACTGATACATTACAGCTTTCCTGAGTTAGAATGGGCACTTCAATGTCAACTGGTTCACAACAACGACTGCACTGTGTTGACTGACACAAGGAAGATCACGGGAGGAAAAGTTGATACTGTGAGCATTGAGAGGTGTTGCAAACCACAGGAGAAAGTGCAGCTTTGAAGGAGGTTTTAAAAGGCAAAGATGAATCTGACATGGGCCAAGTTTAGAAGAGAGCAAATTGTTCAACAAATTCCAAGGTCAGAAGTCACATGACAGCAGGTTATAGTCCAACAAGTTTATTTGAAGTCAGAAGAACATAGAACCTAGAACATAGAACAGTACAGCACAGTACAGGCCCTTCGGCCCACGATGTTGTGCCAACCTATTATCGTACTAAGATCAATCTACCCTGCATACCCTACATTTTACTATCCTCCATGTTCCTGTCCAAGACTCGCTTAAAAGTCTCTAAATTATCTGACTCCACTACCACTGCCGGCAGCGCATTCCACACACCAACCACTCTCTGTGTGGGAAACAGACATCTCCCCTATACCTTCCTCCAATCACCTTAAAATTATGCCCTCTCGTAATAGTCATTTCCGCCCAGGGAAAAAATCTCTGACTATCTACTCTATCTATGCCTTCCATCGTCTTGTAAACCTCTATCAAGTCACCTCTCGTCCTTCTTCGCTCCAATGAAAAAAGCCCTAGCTCCCTCAACCCTTCCTCATAAGACCTGCCCTCCAGTCCAGGCAGAATCCTGGTAAATTTCCTCTGCACCCTCTCCAAAGCTTCCACATCTTTCATATAATGAGGTGACCAGAACTGAACATGATATTCCAAGTGTGGTCTAACCAGAGTTTTATAGAGCTGCAGCATAACCTCATGGCACTTAAACTCAATTCCTCTATCAATGAAAGCCAACACACCATACGCCTTCTTTACAACCCTATCAACTTGGGTCGCAACTTTGAAGGATCTATGGATGTGGACCCCAAGATTCCTCTGTTCCTCCAAACTGCCGAGAATCCTGCCATTAACCCTGTATTCTGCATTCAAATTCAACTTTCCAAAATGAATCACTTCACACTTTTGGAGCATCGCCCCATTGGCACTTCCACAACAAATTCCAACAAATTGCTACGTAACCTGATTCCTGATCCATCCTGAACTGCCCTGGTGTTGGAAAATAGGTCAGAAATTTCCTTTAAACCTATGACCTTCCAAGTATCCTACATTCCTTCAACTCAGACCTCTTGTGCACCATCCACTTGCTTCTACCCAACATTGATTGGAAGGTAGAGATTTTCCAGGAGAGAATTCCAGAGCTTGGGGACCACAGGCAGCCAAAGACATGACCACAAACACGGAGTTATTTAAGACTGGCCAGGAATGCTGGTGTTCAGAAATCTTGGAGGGTCACAGGGTTGGAGGAGGTTATAGAGACGGGGTCGGAGGAGGTTATAGAGAT